TCCCTACACCTAATTCAGCCTCACTTCTCAATTAACATATAGTACCTCCATAAAGGACAACAGTTCTCTCCCCACCTTTATTTTTTTCTGTCCTTACCTACTGCCATTCATTCCCTGCCTTATATGCAGGGGAGTGCCCCCACCTCCTACTGTCTGCATGAAGCCCTCCAGGTCTGGGAGATTGTGGCTGCCACCATCTTCCATTCTTGGGGGCTTCATGCACTCGAGGGGCTGGGAGATTGTGGCAGTTGTGTCTCCCAGCTGTGGAGGTGCATGGGGCGCCCCCCGCGGTTGGGAGCTTGCTTGCTGGTGCAGGGGGAGCTCGGAATTGGGCTCCCTCTGCACTGGCAATAAGGCATGACGGGATCTAATGTGCAATCCCACAATCACGCCTCCTGCTGTATATGTGTGACATGGCAGGGGGGCAGTTGCGTGGATTGCACATTAGATCCTATTTTGCCTTTACCTGCATGTTTAGAAAGGGCCCCTAGTGACTGAACACAGATGCCATTGTCTTGTAACCTTCCCTGAAATAAATTAGTTTCTGAATGCACCAATACCAGTTTCTTATCATTAAAATTTTCTTCTTTAAATTTCTTAAATCATACCATACTATCACTTACCTCAGAAGCTGGTACAGGCTTTTCATGTATGTATTGAATTCTATCAATTTTTTGTTTTCTGAAAATGCTTAGCTCCATTTTCATAGTTACTGATTCTGCATTGGCCTTCTCTATATTGATACAGTCTTATTTATCTCTTGATTTCTTCAAATGCCTTTTCAAAATATTGAGATTCTTCCTGGGTTTTTTTTAATCTGACTTGCAACTGTACAGCTTCATTCAGCACACCTTTTAAATCAGGAGTGTCAAATATATGGCCTGTAGGCTGGATCCAGCACATGGATCCATTGCATCTGGCCCACTGAGGTATTAGCTGGCCACTTGAAGTTGTGGGGGTGTGGCCAGGACCAGTAGCTGGCCTCAGAATCTGGGGCTCTCAGGCCCCAGTGGGCATTGATTGGTGGCAGGAGCACAAATGAGGACTGACATAGTCCTGGTTGCCCACTGGTCACTTTGCCCATTGCCATCCCCATGGCCCAAGCTCCTTGGCTGCCTGTACTGCCATGTTCTCTGTGCTGGAGCCAGCACCGCTGCCCTTTCCTCTGTGCTGCCACTGCGTGCCCCATGCTCTGTGCCAGCACCACTGTGTGCTAAAGCCAGTGCCGAGCGTCCTGTGCTTCATGCTGGAGCTGACACCTCATGTCTTGTCCTGGACCTGGAGCCAGTACTGCATCCCCTGTTCTCCATGCCAGAGTTGCTGCTTCTGTCACCACTGCGTGTTCCATGTGGGAGTTGCAATCCTGGTCTGAAACGCACTTTGGCAACAGAAGCCCTAGCTCTGGCATGGGACATGCAGCAGGAGCTGGAGTTGGAGCCCATCCTGCAGCTGCCCTGTGCCCTGGGGTGTCTGGATCCAGCCCAGGACGAGGCAAATTAGATGCCTGTTTTAAATCCATCAGAATACAATTCAGTGCCTTAATTTCCTCCTTTTTTGCAGCTAGCTTTTTGGCTAGTTTCAAGCATGCTAGTTTCAAGCATACTGTTTCCTCTGTTTTGTCACCCAGTTCAATTGATATATTTCTTAATTTAGCCTATAACACTTGTTTCATCCTGAAGTTTGGCATGGTCATCAATTGTTTTTTTTCTAACACTTTCTTTCCTTGCCATTCCAAACATTATCTGTTGTCATTCTAACAAAGCCGAAACTTAATTTTTATGTTTGCCTGATTCCAACTCGTTATGGTCAGTAGTTTCCTTTTCTTGAAGTGCTGCCACATGAGTCTAGCTCTTTCTATAGAGAGCATACTAGCAACTGATTACAGTCAAATAAATTCCTCATACTTTTTTAATGAACATCTTGGAATGTTTTGCGTTCCTTTTTGAGGAGTTCAAAGTCTTTAGCTTGTTCATCAAAATCAGCTGCAAGTTAAATGTCCTCTTCCTTTTCTTTCCTAAATTTTTTAATATCCTCTTTCTGGCCAAAAGTGATGGCCGACGTTTCTTTTGCAGGTTTATTTTCTCTCTCCCTCAAGTTGATTTAGTTGACTAATTTCACTATTGAGGTCTTCAGTATTCTTAGTGCCTCCAGCATTTAAACAAGGTTTTACCAAATTATAGTATTATCATTCAGCAATTTGTCCTTTACGACTTCAGCCTATAGAATCAGAAGAGCCAAGAGAAGATGAGATCATTCCTCTCCGTATATGCTCATTCTTTCTCATTAAGTACGAACTTCATGCGACTCAGTATAGAGTCCTTGTCTTCCACAGAATAGATTTTACTCAGATGCTTTTTATTTTTCAGCAATGATGTTTTTCAACTAGACAAACTTGTTCTGAAGCTGCTCTGATTTAGAGAGGGTAGCAGAAAATGTTTCATACCACGTTAATTTAGTATCGTTCTCTAAAAGTTATTGTTTCAGGATTAGACTCCTATGTCTATTTTGCATTTAAACAGATTTCAACTACGATGTTAACTCATCAGTCTTTCTTAGTAGTTCCTCTGTTTGTTATGCCTTTTTTTTATTTTCTCCTGTCTACATCTTAAAACTTCAATTTTGTACACTAGGTCTTTTCTTATAACCAGGGATCCTGGTTTTCTCCGATTAAAAAAACAAAAAAAAAATCCCATTTTCGGATTTAAAAAAGTAACCCAAAATCCACATTCTTCTGTGATCAAAATGAAATACCACTATATAGATATCTATATCTATAGCCATTTATTAGTGGTGTTTCATTTTAATCACAAAAAATGTTAATTTTTTTGTTACTTTTTTAATCTGAAAATTGGGGACTTTTTTAATAAGAGAAAACCAGGACCCCTGCTTATAACCAGTGGTACTTGAAGTTTATTTTTCAAGTTCTTTTTCTCTTTAATCAGTTTCTCCAGCCTAAATTGCATCTGTTCTTTTTCACTTGATGGGTGCATCTGCATGAGGGATTTACTGTGGAGCTGCCCAGTTAGCTTCATGGTAAAGTGTCAGCATGCGGCCCTATTAGGCTTCACTAAACTAATTCTGCTATAGGTTAGTACTTGTAAACACAAGTGCTATCCTGTGACGGCATTATGTAGTGCACTGACACGGCGGGCTGGGGCACAGCTGGCCGGCTAGCCCCACGCTAAAGCACCTTCGTATCCAAGCCAGCCTCTGCAGGATGTTGAGCTGGGTTGGAGCAGCCCACTAGCCAGCCAGGGCTGTTCCGACCTGGCTCAACGTGCTGTGCTTTCAGGCTCACGTGTAAATGCGGCGCCTGGGACCAATAAACTCGGATGCAGTTTGTGTTGAATTAATTGCACATGTAGATGTGTCCATTATGTCTTTAAATGCAGCTTCTTTTCAGGTTACAGAATCAGATAACCTGATCATGTTCTAGTTCTTGCTTATAATCCTCAGGTTGCTGCAATCTTTGATTTAACTCTGTTGTTGTTGTTAATTTTTCAGGCAGAAACAGGAACAAACATTTTTCAGGCAGAAACATCCAACACCAGAATCCAGCAATAGGAATTGCATGAGACTGGAGCTATTACATATTTACAAAGGAAAAATTCTTACAACTTATCATCTATACATTCACTATAACATTGTTTAAATGTTAATATACATAAATATGGCTAGGGACTCTTGCTTAATGGTTGATGAACCATTTCATAGATAGATAAATAGATAATATACAGATTTTATATAAGTGTGTGTAACCAACTGCAGAAACTTCCTTAGCCTGATGAAGGGTTTTTGAACCCGAAAGCTTGCTTAATAATTGTTTTCCAACTATTTAAGTTGGTCTAATAAAAGATTTCAGATTCAGCCAAAGAACCTTGTCTGCCTATATCCTTAGACCAACATGGCTACAGCCTACACCCCTGTAGATAAATATTACCTGTAACTTCCTTTATTTCTTTATAAGAGGGTAAGAAATGAAGTGTATATAGATGATGTTTGGACTATTTAATTGACCTTCAATATTGTTTTTGTTATGTATACAATCTTGCCCTAAAATTTAATTTTATTTACTAAATCCCCTACTGCCCTCCCTGTTATGTATCCAGTTTAATTTCTTTCCCATTTGGGTCCCAGATGATCCTTATTTTTATACTCTTTAGCCCAGGGGTGGGCAAAATACAACCCACAGGTTGGATGCAGCCTGCCAAATTATTCTATCCAGCCCACAGCTGCTCCTCTGAAAGAGAATTGTATCTGGCCCACAGCTGCCTTGGTTTTCAGTGCCCCTCACCCTTCTCCCTTCCTTATGCTGTAGCTGGCTGCAGCAACAGCTCTGGCTCCAGTGGCCAGGAAGCTACTCCTGTCTTCAGCCAACCCGCCCTGCCCCACCTCACTTTATCTCCCACGAGCCCCCAGTGATGCTCCAAAGCTGAGCTGACTACCTTCACTATTGAGGTCCATGGTGTTCTTAGGGTGGGGGTTTTCAACTGGGGTGCTGTAGCATCCTAGGGTCCACCCCCTCCCCCTCCCTCAAGAGTGCTACAGTGGCAGTGGCCCGATAAATCTGCCCTGTGTGCTACCCTTGCATTTAGGGCTCTCTAATCAGCCTAAATCACGCAGGAGCTGCCTTGTGCTCTCCCAACCCTCTTCCTGGAAACAGGCACAGGCAGATCTGTCCTGTCTGCTTGTTTCCAGGAAGAGTGCTGAGAGCACTAGCTTGAGGCAGCTCCTACCTGCTTTAGGCTGATCAGAGTCCTAATGTAGGAGGAGCACATGCACCTGGTACAGCCATTCCTGGACTGACTTTACAGCACAGGGCAGTTTCATCACATTTGCACAGTCCTTCCTGGCAGAACCTGATCGAGAAGCACCCAGGTAGGCTAAGGCAGCACCGGCAGTGCTTCTCGGCCACGGGTGCTGTCACATTCCAGAAGGTGATGCTGGGGTTGCTTGACCCTGA